ACACAAACACTAACACACACTGCACCTCTACTTCCAAAGTCACAGCTAACCAAATAAACCTCCAAGCAACCAAATTATGAAGAAAATGAGTGAATACTTTGGTGTGTCCACACTATAGAAAGTAAGTTCCTTGGCTGTTTAAACCTGTAGCTTTAATTTAACAGATAAATATTAAAAACAGAATAGGAAGTTGTAGAAAACTGTAAACTTTAAAGTAACCATTTTACATAGAGTTAAGCAAGAGTTATTAGTCCGTTATAGCATATGCATATGTATTAAGATGAAAAAGAACATTAAAAGCAAAGTTAAACTCAAAATACACTAATGGGAGATAGAATCTATAAGATACTGAGAAATCTCTCGTTCTTGAAATGGAGGCAGTTTCAAGTGCTTAATTCTGCACTTGCCTCTAAGTTATTCCATTCTATATTTGTAGGACTTCCCTCCACGTAAAATGAAACACACAATATTGTCATGGTCTGGGCCATGCTCTTCCATGTTACCCAGGCCCTCTAGAAATCACCAACTCCACAAAGTTCTCAGGCTCGCTCTCTCCACCTGTCCCTGCCTCGCCCAAGAGCCACCAGTGCTGACCTCTCAAAGGTTAGGTCACATGTTTGCTTTCTGATCTTCTTTCATCACTAGACTGAGAGTTTCCTACAGGTGAGACACACGATGTCTCATTGATTATTTCAGCCCAGTCCCTGATGCCAAAATGATGTCAAGTAAGTTAAGATTAAAAAGTTGCCATAATAATTTTTAATTATGTATGTACATACATAGAAAAACCTCAAATACAATCATTTGAGAATCTAATAGTATCTAAATTTATTCCTACACTTTAGAATTCTAAAACAGTTGGCTTTTCAAACAAATGATCATGAGAAAATAGCATAACAGATGAAACTACTGAGAGCACAGAAATAATAGGAGAGCAGAGAAACCTAAAAATCACCTCTAAGTCATCCTCACTGCAAATTAATTATGTCTGGTAAGGGAATTTTACACCTTCGTTTCTGTAATTAATAAGTATTAAATGTGTCTCTTGGTTCCTAAAGTCTATACCTTTCATTCACTTACTGTATAATCTAAGTTCCTCACTTAGGGCCAAAAGATGACCAGGGAAGAATGACCATGATTATTACAACAGAGAAGGCTTTTAGACCTCTCATGCACAATTAAAGCATAGACCAGACCTCTACAAGAAAAAGAATTTGAGGAGACATGGCTCAGGGTTGAAGAGCCTCCTACTCTTCTGTATTTCACCCGCCCTGTCTGGTGCCTCATGACTGCCTGTAAGCTTCCAGGGACCCAATGCCCTCTTGTGGCCTTCCCAGGCACTGGTATTCTTTAACACACACACACGCACACGCACACGCACACGCACACGCACACGTAAAAGTAAAAAGAATGGGGAATGATAATTTAGACAACAAAAAGCACATCATTATTCGCAGGGACATGGGTATGAAAAACACAGGAAGGAAGAGTGTGTCCTGGAACATACAAGTCCCAATGGAAAATTAAAGGTTTGTAAATGGTCAGATTATGATTCCCATGTCTCCAGTTAGCAGACTTGGGCCACCTGAAAACACTGTAGTAGAGATATAAAAAGCACTTGTGTTTCTACACTAACTTGGCAATGTGTGTGTTTTGCAATCAGGAACACATGCCGCGTCTAATCCAACAAGCCTTCTTCTATTTCACAAACAAAATAACAAATATACAAAAATACTATTTTGAATTATAAAACATTAAATGTATGACTTGGTCAAGAAAATAAACTTTAAGAAAAATTTTTTAAAAAGACAAATACAGCCCTTTCAATATAAGTTTTGCTCTAAATAAATGAAAAGTATATCAGTAACTCACTGAGACTGTGGAATTATGTGATGATAGTATTATACATTGGGAATTTTCATATTTTAGTTTATGTGCCAAATTCGGCCAGTTGGCTGTTTTTGTAAATAAACCTTCATTGAAACACAGCATGCCATTTATTTATGTACTGCCTATGACTACTCCTGCACTACAAAGGCACCACTGTAGACTAGCAAAAGAGACAATCTTGCCAACACAGTTTAACAGAAAAAAACTTTGCCAAGCAGTTTAAATCAGTTATTTTCACAGTGTGGTTGGTGGTCCTTGGAAAGTATGTAAGAAATGCAAATGCATGTAAGAAATGGAGGTTCCACTCCAGACCTATTTGAAGCACAAACTCTGGAGACAGAGTCCAACAATACACATTTCAGTAAATCCCATTTGTAAGTCTAAGAATCATTGGATTATGGGACAGTTCTACAGTAGCTGAAAGAGATAAGAACTCACCCAAAGTCTTCCTTGAGGAAGTCAAATAAAGGCCTAATAAAGCCTCTGGGCAACTGTCAGAAAGGACTCCACCTGGAGTGAGGGAAAATGCTATTGAACACGAGGAAAAGAGACTCTTAAGTAACTGGCAAGTCTTCCCTACAGCGACACAGGAGACACAAACAGGGCAATTCAGCACAGACACCAAAGTAGTGTGTCGTCTAAGGTCCTTTACAACTGAGATAATCTATTCCTGCTCTATGAAATTATGTGAAATGTAGAGGGCTCAAAACTGTCTTTTTAACCAGCAGAGTATTATTAATATAAGAAAGGCTTGGTTGCCATGGCAGTGGGGAAGCAGAAGAGAAGTTGGCATCTCAGGATCTCCTGCCTTCCACTTAGAGCATGCCTACTGCAATCCAAAGCCTGGTAACAAAAGCTTTGGCACAAAAGCCGTTCAGGAACATTCAAGATCCTAATTATAGCAGCAGTATAAAATAACAGTTTTCATTTGGGACAAAGAGATTATTAAAAACATGGTGGTAAGAGACCCGTGCAGAATAAAATAAAAACTGTGAAATGACTTGAGTTGCAGGTACACAGAGGAATAATTACAATGTGAATGAACCTAGCAGACAGCATTCAGGCATTCTTAGAAGAACCTAGCAGACATCATACAGGCATTATTAGAAGCACTACATTAAGCCATTATGAACTGATACTGGCTTTGAGTTGAAAATTTTTATCAGAAAAGCAAACTACAACTGAATGAAGATGTTCCCAAACTATCTTCATTTGAGGAATCCTGAAAGTTAGCAATTTCTTTATTACGTTTTACACCAAGGAAATACTCAAGTAGGGTCAAACAACTTAGCATTAATACTCTTGGGGTCTAGTGCTGCTAGGGTACTGACGATTCCTCAGCCCTTGGTATCATCCTAAGCACTGCCACATTGTCATTTCTTGTTCCACACGAATTGTCACACTAAATAGCTGCTTTTCATATAGTAAACTCTGAAGATACAGATTTACAAAGACACGCCACTATAGGAATGGTCGGAACTTTCTACCTCTGAAATTACCTCAGGTGAGTAGTGAAAGCCATCAGTTCCCTGATGCCCTAGCACCTGACACAGTTTGGGAAACTGAGAACTAAGAGTGGGAGCCTAAAAAGGAAAAACCGTGTAATGGGGGAGGAGCAAAGGACAAGTCTTTGGGAAGTTAACCACAAGAGGGCAGCACCACGGGCCTTAGGAGTCAAACCCTTTCCATACAGAGGCTGTAAATACACTAACTTGCAGTTTCTCCATGCTCTATGGAAGAAGCACAGGGGACTGACCACCTATGCACCGCCCAGCTAGAAACCTCCTTTGCCTGCCAAGCTATGAGAAGCTAAGACTTTCAAAAGCGGCCAAACTATTTACTACTCTGCATGCATCCAATCAATCCTCACACAATGTTCTGAGAAAATAAATTGTAAGTAATACAGCTGGTAAGTGGAAAGAATACCATTATTCTTTCCTAAGTCTAAGTCTACATGCTCAGATCTAACTCCAAAGCCAAAGGGATCCTTTTCTTATTTTGCCAGAAAAGGATCCCATCTTTCAAGAATAACCTACCCTAGTAGAGAAAAATATGTTTGCTTTCCACATCCAAGACACCTTTAAATTACAAAGGAAAAAGACACTAAAAGAAACAAATGAAGCCGAGTGGGTGGTGGTACAGGCTTTTAATCCCAGCATTTGGAAGGCAGAGGCAGGACGATCTCTGAGATGGAGGCTAGCCTGGTCCACAGAGCAAGTTCCACAATACATTATAAAAGCAAAAATAAACATAAGTGCTTATCTAGCCTACACATACTGCAGCTTTCCTGTACAGGTAAATGCTAGTGCCTGGAGCACTATTAGGATAAGTCCTGGACACATCCAGTCTGCAGATGTACCACACTCAAGCGAACTCACATACAACCAAATGATTTTAATACTTGGAATAGTAAACAGGTAAAGGATATAGAGAAAGAGGACCAAAAATTGATGATTCATTTTCAAATCCGCTGGGAACTGTATCAGAATATTTGCAGTAAGCCAGCAACTCACTCATACAAATGTATTATGAAACCAAAAGCAACCTCCGACTCCCTTATTCCCACTTCTGTTTCCCTTCTCCGCATTTCTCCTCCTCTCTGTGACACACTCTCTGTGACACGCTCCTGTCCTTTCATTGAGGGAAAAGGACTTTCCCCTGATAGACTAGTAACCACCGGAAAGCAAACTACGCACATTCAACCAACAAAGCAAGCAGGTGAATACAGGAAGCATTCAATGTGGCACCAGAAACCCAGCAAAAACAACCAATGTGTTCCCTCAACCGGTATTTCTAATTACTTGAAAATTAAGACTCGGGCTACCTAAAGAGAAAGGGGAGAAAGGGACGACTTCTTTTTCTCTGCAAGACCACACTGTAAAACCAACAAAGACCGCTTCTTAAAGGATCCAAGAGACACAATAAATACCACCCAATTACTCTCCCACGGCAACAGTAAAAGTTCAACGCTGCCATTTTCGCAGTAAGCAACAATTAGTCCTGCCGTTCTACACAAGCATCCAGCCTCCCTAGCAGGAGCTGGCTCGCAGATCTCAGACACCCCTGTCTTTAACTGCAGCACCCAAGCAGACCCGAGCTCTAACACCCACCTTCGCAGGAGAGGAAAGAAGGGCCTCTTTTTCTGGGGAGGAAAAACAGTTCACATCTTGTTCCTGTCGCCTGCTTCAGGAACCTAAAAACAGAAGCAGCAGTCACTACCTCAGAAACCCAGGGCAAAGAGATGCTCTTTTTTTCCCCCTACGCTGTTTAGATGTCTAGAAAAATTTACAGAAGAATAAGAAAGAGGGGGGTCTTGTTCTGAGGCACACCGGGATGCATGCATTTATCAACAGCCAGCCACTCCTTCCTAGGCTGTCGAAACCCGCAGGTTTTCTAGCTTGGAAGTTCCCTGCCAGTAGCAGGGGTCTAAGTGGAGAGTAGGAGGCGGGATCGCAGGGAGAACCGCTGCCCCCCACCCCCATCCAGCAGCTAGGGACTGCACCCACCGGCTACACGGGTCGGGCCACACAGGAGCACCCCGAAGCGCGCAGGATCCGCTCCTCCGCGACGTGTCGGGCGGGCCGAGGTCTAGGGAGCCCCCGGGCCAGGCGTAGGGTCGAGCGGCCGCCAGGCTGGGCCCTCGGGGGCCCTCCCGCGTGGGCTCGGCCCGCACTCACATCCCGCAGCGGCGGACCCTGCAGCCGCCTGCAGCCCTCGCCCGGACGGGCGCCTCCGGACCTGGGGCCGCGTCCGAAGCGCCGACGCCGCGCGAGCTCGCCCAGAGCCGGGGCCCGCCCAGCCTGTCAGCGCGGCGGGAGGCCGGCGGTGGCCGCTGCTGCCCCCTTTCAGCTCTCCCTCAGCTTCCTGCAGCCCACGCCACGCCCACCGCGGGCCGAGCCCGTCCCCGCCCTCCAGGGGCCGCACGCCGCCTCGGCTCGGCCCGCGCCGCCGGCTCAGTCGCCCCTGCGCGGCGGGCTCTGTCGCGGTGCAGCCTCGGGCGAGCTGCCGGGAGCGGCGGAGCCCGGCGCGGGCAAGCCTGCCGGGGTTGGGGGACGGAGGCCGGCACGCCCCACTGCGCCTGCGCCGCCCGCCGGGCCGGGCCGTGGGGTTGGGCCCGGGCCGGGAAGGCGGCCGCGGGCTCCGGGGAAGCGGAGGCGCGCGTGGAGATTCCCGGGGCAGCCCCCGGGCGAGAGCGCGCGAGGAGGAGGAGGAGGAGCGGGGCGGGTGCGGGTTGGTGCAGTCTCTGGGCGTGCTTGCGGCCTCCGCTCGCCGAGGAGACGGCTGGGAATGAGTCAGCCCAGCCGGGAAGGCCCCGGTGCGCCCGAGCTGATAGGATAGGCGGCCACTGCCTCCGCGGAGACTTTCCCCTTCCTGCTTTCGATTCCACATGCAGCTCCCTGCCCTAAGCCTTCGGCCCAGGGGACGTGGCACGGTGGACTGGGCACTGAGACCCAAGTGCCTGACTTCAGTTAGCCACCACTTGTGCGAAGGGACGGGCTGAAAGAAGAAACGACAGGCAGGGTCCCTAAGAGCCACGCTCATTCATTCAAGAATTTGCTCCCTGCTAGGCAAAGGCTCCCAAGGCTAGGAGACGAGGACAACCTCCATTCTGTATGCTCTAGTCTTACAGAAGCCACAAAATATGCTTTAAGTCTGCACTGTGTTGTGTGTGATTTTCAGTAACATGTACACACACACACACGCACACACACACACACGAAGGTGAGTGGAGATGTTATTTTGGGATGACCAGAAAAGTTCTCCTAGAGTGACATTTGAGCAGATATTTGAAGGATGATAATGATCCAATCTTGGAACTATCTGGTTTCAAGAAAGGAGCTTGCAATGAGAAGGATTCCGAAAAGAGAATATGTTTAGTACTTTTAAGGACCAAGAAAGAACCCTCTATGGAAGACAGTAAAAGGAAAGGAGCTAAATAGTAAGATAAAGAAATAACTGGGACCATTCTGTATAGGACTTTTTTTATTCTTAGCCCCAAGTTTGTCAACCAAATGAAGCATCCATAGCACCCACATCCCCTTTCATACGCGATGCTGTTATTCGGATCTTATATCTAACGGTTTATTTTCCTTTCCTTTATTTTTGAGTCAAGGACTCATAATGTAACACTTGCCTCAAACTCACAGAAATCGTCCTACCTCTGCCTGGTGAATGCTGGGATCAAAGGTGTGTGTCACCACACAATGCATTGTTTCTTTAAGCAAATGTCACCAAAGCTAAAGGTAATGTGGGCAAGGAAAAAATAGATGATTAACAATAAGCTTACAGGATTTAAGTCCTTTGTCAACTCACACAGAAAAATTGAGTAACTTACTTGTTCACCATCATTTACACTGAAAACCATTCTTGGTGAATTAAGAAGAGTGAGCCGGACCGGTCTTGAATGCTACTCTGTGTACTAGAATGTTCTCCAGCTCTCGGTGACATTCCTAGTCGAGGCAGGAGCTAGAGATTTGTTCCACCCATTGATCTTTTCACAGAGTTCCTCCATTCTCTGATAATGATAAGGGAGAGTTCCAAGGAATCCGACAAAATCTTTTATGACCTTCAAAAACTGCACAAACAAATATGAGGTGGAAGATAAGACATTTAGAGTTAGAACTTTTAGCATGGCCTTATTAACAAGTAAAAGTTAATAGCTAGTTGTCTGCTAGTTGTGCTCACAGAGCTGGATTCCACACCCAAACAGTAACAAGACTGAATCGGTGTGTGAGACCAGCCCATGTGCTGTGTATCTTCTTATAGTTCCTAGGCAGTTGTGCTATAAAGCCATAAGTGATACCACACTCAGGAGGCTGGGGCAGGAAGGTTCTGAGTTCAAGGCCAGCTTAAGCTACATAACAAGACTTAGTTTCAAATAAACAAAGCAAGCCTAGGTTGGAAAATTCATGGTCAAAGATTCCCAGCACCCACGTGGTATCTCTCAACCAACTATAATTGGGGATCTCAATCTCCTGGAACGGAATACCAGGCCCTCTTCTGACCTTGGATATTGAGCCTACAGGTAGTGCACACATATGTAGGCAAAACACGATACGCATAAAGTAGACAATCCTAAAAAAGATCCTAAAAAAGCTATGCAGTAGAGGCTAGGTAGCCCAGGTTTTAATCAAAGCCAATCAATCCAAGACAGTCATTTCAAAAGCTTCCTGTTTATCTACATAATGAAAAATATATCCTCATCAGAATATGAGGGTTGAGTATAATAGCATCATCATACTTAAAGACACATTTTGAAGATTGATCGGAAGTGTTTTAAAGCCCTTAAGCACAGCTATTAAAGGTCTGTTATGGCCATGTAAGGGGCAATTTACAGTTGCCATCAAGCTGGGAAGTATAAAACATGCTGCATCTTGTCAGTAATCCTGAATCATTTGTCACAATTGCACCACAAGAAACTGTCTAGCAGCCTGATAAAAGCTGAATTGTAATGGAGACAGATGCAGGGACAGCATTTTTACTGTAATCTGATTCATTTTAAATAGTATGCAAAGTAATGAATTTCATTATAGCGTGTGTGTGTGTGTGTGTGTGTGTGTGTGTGTTGTGTGCATTCGTGCATGTGTGATCACTTTCTTCTGACTCATTTTCTTCTCCCACTGTCCTCTCTCATCCCCCTCATCCCCCTCTACTTGGTCCTTTTGCCCCTCTGAAATAGCACCTCCTTCCGTTTTCATGTCAGGTATATTCTATTACCCTTTCTTTCCCCTTCTGCAAAATCAAGAGCAGTTCCTAACAACCCCTTGTACACATTCTACTTCATCACACGCAGAGAGAGAGAGACGCCCCTCAGATAAGAGGACTCAAGGGTGTTTGTCTGTGGTCTAGCTTACTTCATGTAACAGAATTTCAGTTCCACCCATTTTCCTGCAAATGTCACAGTTTCGTTTGTGTGTGTACACCACTTTTCCATTACCCGCCTCCCTGTTGATGGACACCCAGCTGCTTCTACTCCCTAGCTATTGTGAATGACAGTGCAGCAATAAACGTGGATGTGCAAGTATTTCTGTTGTGCGTGTCCAGAATTGGTACAGCTAACTTACATGGCTTTCACACTTATCTCTATAGTGACTTCCTGAGTTTACAATCCCACTAGCCATGTATAGGAGTGTATCCTACCCCACACCCTCACAGCATTTGTTCCTGTTTGTTTTACTGACAACAGTCATTCTGACTGGGGTGAGATGGGATCCAAAAGCAATTTTAATTTGCATAGCCCTCATGGTTAAGGATGTTCAACATTTTTTCAAATACTAATTAGGCAATTATATATTCAAAAGTTGTCTACTCAGGTTATTAGTCAACTGTTTTGAGTGAATGATTTTTTGGTGGTGATTTTGATTGCTTTGTTTTCTGTTTTTGGAGAGTTTTTTGTTTTTGGTGTTTTTCTTTGTTTTGTTTTGTTTTTTGTTGTTGTTGTTGTTGTTGCTTTTTTTGTTGTTGGTTGGTTGGTTTGGCTTGATTTTTCAAAAAAGGGTTTTTCTGTATAGCTCCGGCTATCCTGGAACTCACTCTGTAGACCAGACTGACCTCAGACTCAGAGATCTGCATGCTTTTTTGCCTCCAGGGTGCTGGGATTAAAGAATTGTACCATCACCGCCCAGCTTGAACAATTTCTTTTGATATTTAATTTCTGCAGTCTTTTATATATTCTAGATGTAAGCTCCTTGTCTGGTACACATTTAGCTAGATTTTTTTTTCCCATTCTATAGGCTATCTCCTCATGTTGGCAAATGTTTCCTTTGTTGGGAAGGAAACACTTTAATTTTCTGTAATCCCATTTGTCAATTCTTGGAATTGTTTCCTGTATTTTTGGAGACCTTTTTGGCAAGTCCTTGCCCATGTCTGTATCTTGAAATATATTACCATATTCTCCTGAAGCAATTTCAAAGTTTTAGGTCCGACACTACAATTGTGATTCATTTTGAATTGATTTGTGTGTGTGTGTGTGTGTGTGTGTGTGTGTGTGTGTGTGTGTGAAGAAAAAGATATGTATCTAGTTTCCTTCCTCTATGATCAATATCCAGTTCTCCCAGTGCCATTTATTGAAAAGGCTGTCTTTTCTCCACAGTATTCATTTTACATCTCTGACTTTTCTAGGTCTTCTATTCTACTGGTCTAAATGTCTGGTTTTGTGCTGGTGCTATAGCGTTTTTGTTACTCTGGCTCTGTACTATAGGATGAGATCAGGCATTGTGATAGCACCAGCATTGCCCTTGCTTAGCATTGCTTTGATTATTGGAGGACTTCATGCTTCTGTAGGAATTTTGGAGTTGTTTTTTTCTAGTTCTGTAAAGAATGCCAAACAGAATATTGATGGGAATTGCATTGCATTTGTATATAGCTTGCAGTAATAAAACCATTTTCTCCAACCTATTTCTGCCAATCCATGAGCGTGTGAGAGGTCTTTTCATCTTCTGGTGTATTCTTCAGTTTCTTTCTTCAGAGACTAAAGTATTAAAGTCTTCAGTCTTTGATCTCCTTGGTTGAGTGATTAGGTTTATTTCTAAATTTATTTTTTAAAGCTATTATTTATTTTTAAGCTATTGTGACTAGGATTTTTTC